CCCAATCTGGTCTCATTTCCATTTTTCCTGATGCAGTCTCCATCTGCTCCGTCTGGTAGCTTCCTCTGGCCAAGCTCACTGTGGTACACGTGGTAGAACCCCTGGCCAAGAGGCATGGATTCTGCCACCAAGAGTTGCGAGACCTTGGGCAGGTCGTTTGAGTTTCACCATCCTCTTGGGTAAAAACATAAATGGGGGGGGGCACCAAAAGAGCAAGCAAGAAAGTACCCAAAAATCCCTTCTGATTCCAAAAGGAATCAATGCCCCTCTTTTCCCTTCCCCTTTCCAAGAAGTTCCTCCGTGCTCTCATACTACTCACAATTGCCTCATTCTTCTCCAGCAAACTAGCACAAAATGTCAATGCCCAATTTGACTCTTTTCTGTCTCCCTCAAATCCAATCAGTCACCAAATCCTGCTGGATTTCTTGGCAAGCTCACTTCCATCTGTTCCCTCCTCTCCATTGCTATTGTCATTGCCTTGATTTAAGCTCTAATCTACCTCCATGGGTAATTCCAATAGCTTGTCCTCACAAGAAGTCCCTTTGTGTCCCTCCACCCTGCCCTTTGCAGCCCAGAATCCCCCTGAAAACATGGCTTTTATCATGCCTTTCCCATACTCAAAAAACTGAATATCATCAGAATAAAATTTAAATTCTTTAGCTCCAGCTTTCAGAGGCTCCCACATCTCTCCCCAGGCTGAGACTCCGGCCTCTCCTCTCCCAATGTCCCCACCTAACCTCAATGCTCCACCAAGTGCATCCACTCCTCTTCGGGCCTGTTCTTCTTCCCAGTCTTTGAGCTTTGCTCCTGTTCATTACCTCATCTCCCACACAAAATGACACATCCCTTTCCCTCTATTGAGCTAAACATCCCAAAACCAGCCATCTCAGAGCCCACATCTACCATAAATTCTCCCAGAATATCTGCCAAGTGTGGGGCTGGACACAAGAGTTGATGTAGCCCTAAAGCAGCTCAGAGCATGGAGAAGGACACACAAATAAAGTCACTGAGTAGGACCACAGAGATCTACACTTGTGATCCATACATATGAGAAGAATAAAAAAGACTCGAAAGTAAGCAGGTTTCAAGAGTTTGATCTACATCCTGAAGAATTAGTAAGAGTTTGTCCATCCTCCGGAGCAGGCCTAACATGTCTTTCTGGGAAGTGCAAGTAGTATGTGCAAAGGCAGAGCAGATCACAAAAATAGAAATTGTTGATGTCCTCAGCTTGGGAAACAGTGGAGATGGAGATGAAAAGCAAAATTAGGGCCAGCTTCTACATAGCCTGGAAGATTCTACAAATATGCTACTCTATCCCAGTAATAGCAAACCAAGCTTGGTTTTAGAGACCAAGTACCAACCTGCAACCCAAAATCCATTTATTTATTGCAAAGTCCCAACAGTGCAATTAAACTGAATATTGAGTTTTTAGTTTAGAAAACACAACTCACACATTAATATCTTTTGTCTTAAAAGAAAAATAACACACATGCCATGGGTTCACCATCACTGCTCTATTCTATCAGAGAAGCAATCATATCCCATTGGTATCTAGAGATGTGTTAGAGGCCAAGGTTACCACACAGTGTGGAATACGGTGATGAAGAGTATTATGCATAAGTTATGCTCAGCTCTAAGTGTACATAAATGTGTATGTATGAATGTAACAGAGACATAGAGGAGATGAAAGCAAGGATTACCAAGGAGCACGGAAGCAATGAACTTAAGGCCATTAGAAACTGTCAATTTGCTAAAGATAACGCTCAGAGTAGGTAGCCCCTGGGGAACTTCAGAGGCCTTAAAGAGATTTGGACCTAAAGCTCAATAGATTGTTCCAGGGCAGAATCTCTTAGATGTGTGGAGGTAAGACTGGGCCTTGGGGAAACCCACAAATTCCAACAGATCTGCCTTTAAGAGTGTATAAGGGTGAGGCAGTGGTGTTCAGTTACTCTAAGGACTAAGACAAGAGGATGGTAAGTTTGAGCCCAGCCCAAGCAATCTGGCAAGATCCTGTCTCAAAATAAGAAAAGCTAGAGATGTAGCTCAGTGCAAAGAACCTGAGTTCAATTCCCAATACCACACATACACACAAAGTCTATAAGGGATTATGAGGATACAGCTCACCTTTCAGGCTTCCTAGGTTCTGTGAAAACAGGGTAAGGTAGGTGCCATAAAGTACTAAAACAAAAAAAAATGATATTAAAATACATAAAGGCCAAGGGAAGCTGAACTCCCTTGAGGAAAGAGGAAGCAGGAAAATAGTGACTCAGGAAACACAAAGCTGCCAAGAGTTTCAGCCTAGTTGTGCCCTAACCAAGTGGTGATGACTGAGTATCACATCTCAGATGGGGGTGAGTGATCGGTGGAACTTAATAAATGTTTAAATACCTTGTCTGTGTGTTTGTTTTAACTCTTCCTTACATTTTCCATTAGGGGATCCATGAGGGGACTGTAAGCAGGAGAGCATCATGAAAAGATTTATATATCATAGTGGGGGGGCGGGCGGGGATCTAATGGTCAATTTTTAAAACCTTCCAAACATTAACATCTAAACAGTACACCACTTCTCATGTCCAAAGCCAAGTTTTCCCCAAATTGTTTCTCCCTTTTTATCATCCTGTCCAATCATTCTACAGAAGACTGAGACTGACATCTCCCACTCCTTAGCCCCTGTCCTGTTACAGATTCTGTCTTTCCAGGGTCTCTTTTACCTGACCCAACTTCACTTTTCAGGCCCACAATAAGGCCTCACCTATCATTTGTACCCTAACCTGCCCTTCCAGACTCCTAACGGCTCAGTGTCTTTGCCTCCCTTGGTCACTGCCTCCCAAACACTGTGAGTCCACTACACCTATTTCCGTCTGGCAATTAGAAGAATCACCTGGGGGAACTTTGTAAAAATATCCCAGATCTACTAAATACGAATAGTTTACAAAGCTCCCCAGGCAATTCTGAAGCACAACTAGTTTGCAGACTCTCTACATTCTTGCCACACATGGTGATGTGACAAGCACCCTCCCTGCCAAATTAGAAATGCAGAAAGCCAGACCCCACAACTGACCTCAGAATCTGCATTTGAACACGATCCTCATGTGACTTGGGTTTGTTAAAGTTTCAGAAGCTCTGCTCTAATGTTGAACCATTCGTCCCACAAATATTTACTGGATTTTCTGTCAGACAGGGAGTTGGAGGAGTCAAGGTCTCTTGGAGAAGCTCACAGACTCAAAGTCAGTCTCCTGCTTAGAAGCTCACATGGACTCCCATTCCCCATCCTGTCCCTTCAGACAAAGTCCACACTACTGTCCCAGTCCTTTATGACCAGCTGGGACCATGTTCTGTCCTAGTCATCAGCTCTATCGTCCACCACCCACCGTAGGAGCCAAGCTGGATGACTGGCCACTTCCCCAGGCTAATCCATGCCTGCCTGGCTATACAGCTCTCACAGCCCAGGTCACCTTCACACCAGCACCTGGAGAAACTCAGGAGAAATACTTTGGGGCCTATCATGTACATACATGACCCCTTTTAAAAAATTATTCCAGACTCTTCCTGCTCAGAAGAAAGATAGGAATTTCCACAACTTTGCTCCTACCCCCATGTCATTTGTATCATTCCCATTAGTCTTAAAGTCATAATGCATTTGCCTTACCTATCCCAGTGAAGAACAGACTACCGACACTCTCCCAGTGGCCAATAAGTTAGTAACTGGCACATCACCAAATCTCAAAGCAACACTACTGCTAATAATTAAAACAAGTTGAAGAAGGGCTAGGATGTAGCTCAGTGGTAGAGCCCTCGCCTAGCATGTGCAAGGCCCTGCAACCAGCACCTCAGCAACAACAAAAGGTTAAATAAAATCTCATATGGATGCAATAGTTAGTGAAAGACTCACTTATCTCCCTTATCACCCCTTTCAAAGTATTTTAAATATGTACATAGAACATTCGTATGTAAGTTCAATATTCACTCAAATGAGCTCTCTTGAGCCCGCAAGAGAATTAACCCTTCTAAATCAGATAATATTTAGGGTTTTCCTCCTACTAATAATCGAAGTCTGAAGGCTGAATTATATCTGACTATACTAATATGAATATAGTAATTTATGAATTTATGACTATACCAGTAATAATCAGTCTGAAAATTATTTATCTATGATCAACTACCTTTCTGTAGTTGAATATTTAACTTCACAGTGAACACCATGAAATCTGTAAACCCATCAGTTTTGTATTAAAACCAATTAAGGAAGGATGGAGGAGAGAGATGAAGCGAAAGATAGGAAGTAGACTAAAATGTGAAAAGGGAAAGATCTATACCAAATATCCAGATGCTCTAAGTTTGACTTGCACTGAACAGAACGTGTATTTCAGTCCTACTCAAACCTTGGAAGATCTGGTCTTTAAATACATAATCTTATTTTCAGTAAAGAAAAAACAGGGGTCTGGAGTCTGTAGAGGAGGAGGACCTACTTTTAAGCAGGACCATCCCTATCCTGCAGTCTACTGGGACTCAGCAGCCTGACCTTTTGAAAAGTACGCGGTGATTTTGCATTAATAGTATGGGACGCAAGCACTGCTGAACAGAGATTTGCCCGAACGATGTCTTATAGCTTCCACGCCACCTTGGGCTCTCTTTAGTTTTCGCTGTTCTGGGAGCGGAGCTGGGCCATCCATATCCACGCAGGGCGTAGACCGCCGGCGTCACCAGCGCCACCCTGGCACCTGTAGAACTCGGGCTGTCTGCGGGCCCCCGGAAAGTTAAGAGTGGAGGTTCCAAGCAAATCCACAGGACTTACCCACCCTCTTCTTAGTTTTCTGACCAGGAAAGGGGGTGAGGTCCCTGACCTCGCACCTGGGACCAGCTCCCGGACTGGAGAACACTGACTGACCCCCAGGACCCGTGTGGTTTGCCTCTGGGGTCTCGGTTCCCCAGGCAATGCCACTGTCGGGAAGCCCAGTCTGGACCCTGGCGAGTCCCGGGGCATCGGGAAGCCTACTGACCTGAACGCGGGGCCGAGGCTCCGGTCCGAGAGGCTCAGGTGTGCGGGCCGCTCGCGAGTCCCTCCCACCTCCGACCCTGAGAGCCAGGAACCCAGTACAGGTCACCACCGGCCACCGACCAACTGCCGAGCACCAGCAGACCCACCCGCGGCAGCGGCTCTGGGGCCCACGTGACGGGGCGGGCACCCTGCCAGAGGCTCGTCCGGGAGCACCGCTCTCCCACCCCTGGGACCGCCCCACTGTCACTCCTCCTCCCCGTGGGCGCTGCCACCCAGTCTCTGGGACTGCCTCGTCAGCCCCGCCCCCGAGGACCAAGCCACGCCCTCCATATAGACTCCGCCCCCACCGGAGTCCCCCCCCCCCCGCCCCTCCACAGGGTCCCCTGCACCCTTCCGGCGGCGGCCAGGCACGGGGTAGCTCCCCGGCTCGTGCAGCCCCTCGGCACCGCTCCTCCGACGCAGGCAGACTTGTGCGAGAACCCGTAATAAAAGCACCTGCAGCACAGCCACTCCTGGGGCGTCCAGATCTCCCGCCGGATTCCAGCGAAACTGAGTTTAGCCTCAGTACAACCTCATTTCTCCTCGCGCTCTGCCCACCTTCACCCTGCACCCCACACCCTGGCTGGCAAACTTCTGGTCACCCCAGGTCCCCATGAGTTTGAACTCCGCTCCCCGGGGTAAAGGTCCCTCTAGTGGTTGGCGGCGAACGAAAGCTCTGCCGCCGGATCTGGTGAATAGCTGAGGACTGGGAGCACTTCCTGCGCCCCGAACCGAGGTGAGGTACCCTAGGCCAGGGAAGAGCTTTGGCGCTGCCTGACACAGGGAGTTGATTCTCACATGGGAAGGGCTGGGACCTGAAGACCAAGTCTAGCACCTACCCTTGGAGTGTGGCCAGGGGTCTTACCACCCCGTGGGTGCCCTGCCTGGCCCTCCAAGGCCTTGCTCCTCAGTTCAGCCGATTAAAATCTTCGTGCGCCAGCGATGGCAGCAATACCGGGGACTCTGACATGGTCCCCAGCTCCGGCAGGAGTCACTACAGTGGCTGGAGTGTTGACAAACTCCATGGCACACGTTTTTTCAAACCAGATTTACCCTTCTGGTCTGAAATTACCAGTGTGCCCAGAGACGTGCTCATGTGAACAGAACATAAGCCACGCTGGCAAATAGGAGACTTGTGGTCACTGCAGGAACCTGGCCAGCAGCAGACCAAGGGCAAAGCCAGGAGAGGGAGGCTGGGCCGGCAGAGTTGTGTTACAGCACAACACCCTGTAGTTCATTTTCACTTCTTAAAATAGCAGCGGAGAGGCTTTTGTACAGGAAGCCTGCCTTTCACCCAAGTTCATGAGTGTTTCCAAAACCCACATATTGCCCCCAGGGGACCCACTGCCCTTACCCCAGTCCCCAGAAAATGCTAGCCTGTCCTGAGAACTCTGCAATTACTTTTTTAAGTTTCGTAAGTGGCTGGCTCTTATGCTTATTTGCAGTTTGGCTCCACCTTGGGGGAAAGGACTTTAAAAATACTGATGTCTCAGTCCCAAACCCAGAGGATATGAGATATGTCCTGGACATTAAGACTCTTAAAGCTCCCCAAGTGATTTTTTTTTTTTTTTGAAGGGGATAGGATCTGGCTATAGAGTCAGGCAGGCCTCGAACTCTCAAGAGATTCTCCTGCCTCAGCTTCCCAAATGCTGGGATTACAGGCATGTGCCCCCAGATGCTGCTCCTAAGTGATTATTATGTGCAACCAAATTTAATATTCATCAGTGTAGTCAGGGAGGCATCATTCCTCCCTCATTTAAATTCAGTAAGAGCCTCAGGGCTCAAAAGTTCGCCTGAAAGAAACTCAAGGTTTTGCCAGGCCTGCATGCTGTCAAGCAAAGTAGCACATTAACAGGGGCTCCCCGGAGAAAATGTCTTGACCTAAAAGGATTTAGGTATCAGGGGTGAGTTGTGAAGGGCCGGTGTTAAATCCAAGTCCCTGCAGAACTGTCAAATCCAAGCCTATCCCAGATGGAAGCCAGACAGCACATTACAGGCAAACTGTATTCTTGCCTCCAAAGGAACTATATGTGGCAGACTACTTTCCCTGTTGATAATTCCACTCCACCCTCCACTGTGAAGCTGGCTACTTTCCTTATATCTGAAATAGATAATTTATTTTATCCATAGGGCAGATAATGGCCCTGGGCCTATGGAATAGGAAATATCCTCATATTTATTTGTTCATACCTGCCTCATTCCACAGAGGATTTGGGCTCTCCATATCGTGCTGTTAGAATTGTGGGTAATTACCCTGTGTCTATAGGTTGGTTAGATCTACTAAAATGCTATGGGGGAAAATCTCCCTTCACTGCTTATGGTCACAGCCAGAGCTTGGCAAAGACGGGGAAACAGCTGCAAACACACAAAGAGAGACCTCTCATGTGACCAACCTGAAAAGATGGAGGCCTCGGCGCAGGACACAGACTGGCACCACAGCCTGCACTTCTGACCCAGACTCAGCTGGACTGAACACGCATGGGAAACATTTCGAAGAAGGCCCCGTCTAGAGGCACATGCTGCCCTCTGGGCCACATGGCATGCTGCTGTATCTGAGAGCCCCTTGCCTGCTATCTGGCTTCCCTCCAGATCCCAGAATATTTACCAAGGGCTTCTGTGTGTTGGGGACTGTTCACAGTAAACTTCACACGGGCAGCACTCTCTGAAAGCCTTTATACTGAGGGTATGTAGGCAAATAGAGCCTGATGATCTTATTTGCTTAGTGTCACTTTTATTGTGGTTCAAGCAAGAAGAAAGAAGCAGATGACACCAAGACAAGCTGAGGCCAGTGCTGGGGTCCTCACCCTTAGGCTGCTTTCCTGGAGGAAGAAAATTTTGAAAGACCTATAGGAAGGTCTTGTGCACGCACACGCGTGCGCACGCGCACACACACACACACACAATGGGTGAAGGGGTAAAACCTATTAGTTTTAGGCTGAATTGCTGAACACATTGATTTATAAAAGACTGGGTGTACAAAAATACATATTTGATGCTTCCTTGGGCAATAGAAAGACTGAGGATTGAAGTATTTTTAGCTGTTTTATTTTGGAGTTGTGATAGGTTGAATAACTCATCTAAACTCTCATTTCTAGAGTGACAGTTGTAAAGACTTACATATCTCACAAGAGCAAGAAGAGAATTAAATGATGTACAAACTGGAAAGTGGTATTGAAATGTCAATATCTTTATTATTACATCCATCTACCTTGGTGGAACAGCAAGGCTAGAGGAAATAAAGATTAAATGTCAATAAGAAATAGTACTTTTAGTTGGGCAGTGAAAAAATTGAAAGAATATTTATAGAGAGTGAAGAGACTATGCAAAAGTCAGAGGATACAAAGCCATTGATAGCAGGAAGGGGCAGACAATTTGAACCGTTGGAAAAAGAGGCCAGAGTTAAAGTAGATGCTGGAGAACAGAAAAGGCTGGGAGTCAGCTGGATCCAAATGTAGAGGCCTCAGGGCCAAGAAATTTGGTTAAATAACAGACTCATCCCAAAATTGAAAATTCCCAAATGATAGGCTCATCTAAGCGATTGGAAGATACCTAAAGCAGTGACATCTGGGAAAGGCTGTGTATGTATCCCCATGCCTAGATCCTACTCCTGCATATGACTAGAGGGGTACTACATTGTGAAGGGCTCTGGCCTCTGTATCCTGGAGAGCATCTACCAAAGCCACGTTGCTATCCTTCCTGGGTGCAATGCATTACTTCAGAGACAGCTTTTTCTTTGTCTGGAGTTTGTAAATGATCTGGTTTCCTTCATTCCAGGCATAGAGCTGCTTATCTCTGGGGTTGTAATGGATCATGGAGTGACTTCTTGACCGCTTGGGAAAGAACAAGTTGGGCAGGTCCTCATCACTGATAGTGCCCAGTGGGTCATAGACACATGTGATTTGATGAGGACCCTGGCCACCAGAACTATAGACCACATAGAGAACCCCACATAAAAGGAATGAGGCTTCAGCATCCTGGCTTCTGCAGGGAGTGTCCCATGAGTGCTCTACTCCCAGGGTGCCAGGGTCAATTTTTGTGAGAACCAGATGGCTTTGGATACCTGGCCCTGGGTGGATGGCCCAGAGCCCATGCTCATCCACAGCCAGGTCGATGTAAGTGAAGGGGGAATGCTGGTAGACCAGTGCTCGCCCTGCCCCTCCTAAGAGCAGCATTCGATCTTCCACAGTCCTCTTCTGCAGATTATATTTGATTATCTCATTAGAAGTCCCTTGATTGTGAAAATATAAAAAACCTTTGTAGAGCACTTGGCCTGATCCCTGCCAGGAAAGTGGTAGGAGTAACTTTCGGGGAGCTGGCTTGGTGCTGTCCTCCATGAATGCCCGGATGTTTGCAAATTCCCAAAGGGTTTTGTTTCTGGATCCAATTAAGAGATACACTTTGGGAGAGTCACTGCCAGCATCTTTCATCCAAGAGCCATCTGGGTCCATAGTCTTCTTCACTATTTTCAGGGACTTTATACCCATCAGCATGTTGTCACAGCCTGGTCAAAGAGGAGAAAAAGGAGAGGTTATTATGTAAATAGGAGAGGTCTACTTTCTGGAAGACTCACCGTGCCTGGAAAATCCTGTTTCCTTTCAGCTCTAATATGGTATGGAATATTCGCAATTCTACTATGAAATAATGGTCCTTAGAAGAAGAGTCATCCTCAGAAAATCCTAGAGCAAAAATGGAAGATAGCCATCCAATTCATTTTCTCCACATAAAGAGCATTTAAATCACAGTAACAAGCCAAGTTCATTTGTTTACTTCATTATTCTTACCAACTGCTTTTGTTTTTGGTACAGGGGATTGAACTCAGGTCCTTGAGCTTTCGAGGCAAGCGGCGGAACTACTGAGCTAAATCTCTGGCCCACCGACTGCTTTTTATCCATACTGTTTAGAATAAAGTTAATATACATAGATAAATTACAAATTATTATGTGACTCAGTGGATCAAAGAATAAATGGGTCTTTGTTAGGAGAGCTTATGTCCTGTTTTAAGAGCCAGGATTCAAGATATTAGCAGTTTTTTTGGTATGACAGAGACCCTGTTCACTTGAAGACTACTTGGGACTGACACAGCAAAAATGGCATAGGTGTGAAATCCCACAATTCAATTCCATTTACTAAGAATTTATTGGATGTCTGTGGTGCATTAAATTTACAAGGCTCCCATAATGAATAATAAGTATAAAAAATATCAACCCTAAACCTTGAGAAGATCATCTTCTAGTGAAGAATCGTGGCTCTTAAAATTACTGCAACACTAGAAGAACTCCACTCACCACAAATTTATGTATGCATTTAGTCATCAGGCATTGAATATCTATAAAATGTATGATACTGGCTTAGAGGTTATGAACTGGGATGCAATGATAAAGTAGGCATGGTTCTTCCTTATTAGGTACATGACTAGCTGGAATGTAGGTCTTAAAGTGGAATTTTTACAAAAGAAGGACAGAGAGGGTGGTGTCGTTTGAGACAGAGGAAGAATCTGTATTTAAGTTAGCCCTTGAAGGATAAATGGAGTTGAACACTTAGAGGATGAACAAGAATATTCTAGACAGTTAACAAAACTACTTTCAGGAATGCTTGCCGTTAGGGTTAGGTGAACTAATACCTAATAAATTTAAAACAGTAAAAACTAAATACTTGATATTGCCTCAACTAAATACATAAGACCAAGGAATATATTGAAGCCAGATCTATGCCTACAATCTTGAGGGTGAAGCTAAGGAAACTGAGCTTCATTCTGAAAGCAGGGAAGATGCTACTGAAGCATTTGAGCAGGAGTGAAAGGATATATGTCTGTTCTGAAGGTTAAGGTGGCAATCCATGTATGATAGACTATGGGAAAAAGACTAAAATCAAGGAGAGAAATTAAAAGGCTATTGCTTATAAATAATGAGCAAAATTAAAGATAGTAAGAAGTAAAGACATAAATCTTTAATGGGAAGGAGATCAATGGATGGAGGAAGAGGGGAGAAAGGGGAGAGAAAGGGAATGAAAGAGGAATTAAGATGTGTTATGTACATGTACCAACTCCACACCAGGAATGTAAACATTATGTACTGCAAACACCTACTAATAAAAAAAAGAGTAAAAATAAAAGGCTATTTCAGTAACATTCTTAACATTTGATAATACATAAATATATAGACATTATATTTCTATAATCAAAGCAGGGTGATAAAGGGTCTACGCTAGGTGGAAGAGGATGAAGTAAAAAGGAGGTGTTTACATTTTTCTGGCTTTGCCCTGCTGTTCAGCCTATTATTCTTCCACCTTCAGGTAAAACTCTTCTTTGTGTCTCATGCTGTAGTACCTCATGTTTTGTATCTCATGCTCAGTTTCCCTTAGTCTAAGTCATGGATAACCTCCAGGACACCGCGCCACATCCATGGAAACTACTTTCAAACTACTTTACCACCTCCTCCAATGGCTGTTCTCTAGACCCCCCACCCCCACCCCGAACTGTATGTCAGAAACCTATTCCAGTATCTCCCACTGCAACAATTTCTATACTTCCATTTCTCACTCCTTGTCTTCATCTTCTCTTCTCTTGTGTTTCCTCAGGCCTTCGTGTCCCTCGGCCTCTACTTTCTCCTAGGGCATCAGCTTTCTCTTGATCTCACCTTAGTTTCTGTAGTCAGATGCATCATCCATTGTGCCACTGACCCTGTGCTCTCACTTCATTTCCTATCCAGCCTAGACTACAATGATAGCCCTCTTACCAGCACCCTCTCTTCCTTAACCCTTAGTTATTCCACAACAACCACCTGACAAATGTTTGTGGTCCTGGATCAGTTAAAACATCTGCCTCTGTCCTGCATATATGAGTGTTAGTGATTCAAAAAAAAAAAAACTCACAAAGATGCATATTGGTGCCACTATACATAACGGATCTCCAACCTCTGTTGAACCCTAAATATCATACTGATCTCCATTGGTATGGAGTCCCCCATCTTTTACATAGTAACTATCTTATATCTCTCCCTCTCTATTGCCTTAGACAATATCTAACAGCAAAGTAACCTGTAAAAACCAAATGCCATTAGAGATGAACTTCCTTTACTTCATGTCCCTCACTTACAAAACTTTCTTCAGTCGTCCTGACCATTGCAATCCTCCCACATATCCTAGGAGAAGCTGTGGCATTTCTTCTGTCCAAGACTAACATATTCACTTGTCCTCTGATCTTATTCCTTCCTGGCTTCTTCTCAACATCCTCCATGAATTGTCTCCTTTATGTAAATTTGAATTTCTCCTTCATGAAACTAGATCTTTAATCTTAGCTTGAAGTCATCTTGTTTATACTAAAAACAAAAAAGGGAAGCAATTTTCCTTGGATCAGGCTTTCTAGTTAATTTGCTATCATTACATCATGTTTATAGTTAGCTCCTCCTGAAGAACAGTCTATTTACAGTGTATTTGCTCTCTCACCTCCCATTGTTTAACTTCAGTATGATTCCACAGAAACTACTATATTATACATAAGGTTACCAGGACCTCCTCATTAAAAATTCAGATTGACAATTTATGTACATATTTCACTTGATCTTTTTGAGATCATTTGATCTTATCGATCAGTTCCTCCTTTAATATTTCTTTTCCCTTGACCCTTTGTCAACTGTTTCTGTGTTTCCTATTTTTCCTTTGACTACTTGTGGCAGAGCCAGTGGTCTGTGTTAATCAAATTCCATTTCATTTTCCTCTTCACAGTTACAAGTGAAACTATATTTCATAGACCGCTTTGTAGTTAGGCTGCATCCATTGACTTGTGTTTCCTCAATGGGACCTGGAGAGATGTGGTGTAATCCTGTTTTTACCTGGCCCTTAGGCATGTTATCTTCCAGATAACCTTAGAGTTCTGGAATTCTCATAATGACAATGTTCAAGAGGGAGGTGGGTCAAGATGTGATTTGCTCTATTGGGCATTTCAGGAAAAATGGGTCATCAGTTCTAACTGTGGACTTCTTGGTGGGACTCTGCTATGAGGCTGTCTGTTGTGAGCTGAGCAGTATCATGGAGTTAGGGAGTGGTGACTTCACCAGGAGCCTAAGGAATCCCATGAGTCTCCCTTAAATCCTGCTGAGATCTCTATGATGGGCAGGAGAATGGGTTTTAATAGGATCAGGAAACTCTGTGGACCTCCCTCACTAAGTACTGGTGTGAGGTGGTAGAATGATGGCCAAATGGAGAGTAGTACCTGGCAGGCACTGAGTACTCTGAGGGTCTCCCTCAGATAAGGTACAAAGAGCTGGATGTGGGCGTGGTGGTGAACATCTGTAATCCCAGCACTCGGGAGCCTGAGGCACGAGGATCACCCAGAGTTCAAGGCCAGCCTGAACTACAGAGCAAGACCCTGACTCAAACAAAACAAACAAAACAAAGCCCAAAAAGCTGGATGTGCCAGCAGGTATTTTAAATAAATGTTTTGGCTCTTAAAGCCACCTGGACTCAGAGGATAAGAAATAGAATGATAGTAGAAAGTCTGGACACAAGGAAGAGAGATGTGCAGCCAGATGGGCCCAGAGGTTCTGAGGTAAATAAGCATGCTGGCAAACTGTTTAGTCAGTCCACTGCCTGGGCAGCTCTTCTATCATATTTCCTTCATCAATTTATCACCCACTATTACCACAGCTTCTCTTTTCTCCTCAAGCCTCCATCATACCTTCCTTACTCTTGTATGAAGATCTTGGCTCTTACTTCATGAGAAAATAAAAGCGGGTGGAGAAGAACTATATCATCTCCTTTCTGAGCAACTGCAGTAGTCTTCTCCGTGGTGCTCACATGTCCCATAATCCAATCCCCTCAACAGCCAGAGGAACCTTTCGCAATGTGTCAGATCAGGTAACGTCTGCTCCAAACTCTCCATAGCTTCCCTTATTCAGAGTGCAGCTCATGCCTTTACCTGCAGAGTCATACACAAGCTGTTCTCTGCCTCTCTAGCCTTGTCTCCTACAACTCCCTCACCTTGTGCATTTTGTTCAGCTACACTGCCTTCTGCTATTCCTCGGGCGCGACCAAGCACGCTCATGCAACAGGGACTTGGCACTTTTTGTTCCCTCTGCTTTAGAAACTGCTTCCCACAGATACTTTATATGGCTCCCTTGTTCATCCCTTAGGTCTGCTCTCCAATGTTCCCTTGTCAATAAGGCCTTTTCTCTGCATGTTACTCTTCTCTAGCTCTTTTGCAAGCCCCTTGCTCTAGTTCCTTTTTCTCCATAGTGCTCATTATATTCTCACTTTTCATTTGTCTATTAATACACTTATTGCTTGATTCCCCTCAATAGGGTATAAAATCTATGAAAACATGAGCTTTGTTTTATCCGTTTCATCCATACAGCAGGGGCAAAGCTCCTGTATGTCTTTCCTTAGACTACTGTCTTGCACACAGTAGTTCAGGATTTGATAAATGAATGAAAGAACTTTTCAACCACAATCTCGCCAAAAAACTGCACCTGAATCCATGTTCTCTGCCTTCCTTCCTGCTTCTTT